AGAAATGTGGTATTTCCTCTTTCATTCGTTACCGATTTTAATTTTAATCTCGTTAGTATTAGTGAAAATATAGCAAAATTTCATTAATAAATTTAAATAAATTTAATTTAAAGCGACATGTAAGGATTGCAAGTTAATTATACATATAAGTTAATTTTCGAATATTTAGAATCGATTCAATTATTTTAATAAGCTTAAGATAAGTTTAGATATAATATTTGTTGCAACATCTGTTACCATTTCGGCTGTTATAGTAGTACTTTAAGCATTATGATGGGACATTATATAGCTTTCGAGGTTATCGATATAGAAACATAATACAGAAAATACTAAAATAGTAGTAATGTTAGCTATTTATTTTCTAAATGTAGTTTGGAAGTTTCGATACGTGTTGCAGTAAACAGAAAAAAAACTTTGCCTAAATAATTCAATAAATTAATCGAATTCTTTAGTCTATATTGAGATAAATTCGAATTGATTAAATAATGAATATAAATAAATTAATGCTCAAGTTTGAAAGCAAAAACTTTATCTTTAACTCTTTCTGATAAGTAAAACTTCAAATAGGATAAATAAGCCATAAAATCTTTGTAAAAAAGCAATAAAGTACTAAAAAAAAATAGTTACTTTGTCTGATATCTGTATTCTCTATTGAATAGTTGCGAATCTATTCTTAGTCTTTATCCACTCTACTGTGTAAATCTTCTAGTATGTTACTTCAAATCCACCTTTCTTATCTCTATTAAATCATTGCCATGTTGGATCCTGTAATACTCTAAGCTTCTATATATATTCAAGTTATTTACTTTGTCTGTTTTCGATTGATAAATTGCTAAATTCTGTCAATAGAAAAGACTTATTTTGCATACTTAAAACATCTGGCTCCTGTCAACAAAATTGTAAATTATGTAAGAACGTAATGCTAAAGTCAATTAACTTAGTCTCTGGAGGTAATATTGCTTAGTTTAATCTCACTGAATGCAATATATATGGTTCTTTCTCAAAGAAATTAGTGTTGAGCCAGATCTGTACGTCAGATGGTAAGACGTAGAAGCGCTTGAATGACACTTACCACATGGCCAAAGTAAAATCAAAGAGGAAGTTTCTGTTACCATTGCTTCAACTTAACCTCCATTGACAGAAATCAAGATGTGGTTTCTGTTGTTTGCTATCCGAAAATCTAATTTGTGAAATTCTACTTCTGATGTCAATACACTTACAGATGTTTGTTGTATTGAATATTTACATAACTAAAATAATTCATAAAGAAAATATCATCTATAAAATACACTTTAATTAAAATCGTTTTAAAAGCTTTAAAAGAATTTACTATATAACTTTTAATAAAAAAGATAAACAAATATAAAATTTTTAATTAGCGTATGTACAGTACAAAAAATAGAAAATTTAATAGTTTATTTTTAATCAAACAATTGATTTAAATTTTACAATATAAATAGTTTTAATGAGATTATATTCAATCTACAGCTTTTAAAAAGTAAAAAAAGCAATTAAATGGAATATTTTAATCCCATTTACTAAATATTTTGTTAGTTCAACAGTAAAAATTATATAAAGTGTTAAGGTTTCAAATGAAAATAATCATAGTAATTCTAGCAAAAATTATTTGCTGATTCCGCTTAAATCGATAAATTGAATCTCAAGTCTCGCGAAAGAAAAATTTTTTTCTTTTAATTTTATTTTTACTTGTGTTGTTATTATTTTATTCTTCGTCATATAATCGTATATTTTAAATAATTTAATTAATTATTTATAGATCTGATTAATTTGTATCCTTCGAGTAATGTCTCGTGGTCTGTAGACAGAATAATAATAATAATAGAAAAAAACTTTTATTATCGATGTAAATAAATTTCGTTTATTTCATTGTTGACATCTTTATGAATATTTTAGACGGTAGCAAAATTTATCAAAAGAGAAAAGTCACCTCTCATAAGGTAAAATGCTGTAAAAATCTTCGTTTTACAAGTCAAATAACTTTAAGAGACAAGTCTATTAGTAAGACGTTATAAATATACAATGTACAGTTTTATTTCCTCTTCCATTTCCTAAAGGAAAGAAAGCTTCGATTTTTGCCCAATGAAGAAAAATGGGACATCCATTAAACAACTAATTCCCAGAAAAAAAAACGAGATAAAATAAAAAAAATGCTATACTGATTTTTAATCTTTATCAATCATGCATGAAACAAAAAATTCCTTTGATATCATTCCGACGATAAGATATGACAAGAAAATCCTTTTACCGAGACAAGTAATCTCTGAAGAATTTCATAGATTAGACTATGTTTGCCCTGCTAACTAATATTTTCTCATTGAAGATGATCCTTTCTCTCTATTCTCTTTTTTCCTATTTGTATCTGTTATAATTCTAATGCATTTTTGATGTCCAACTCCATAACTACTAAAATAAGAGTGAAAATTCTTTAGTATACTTCTTAAAATACAATGATCGAATTCGCACTTTTCTTTAATTTATAACTCAATTTTTCTGTTTTAATATTCTTCTACGGATTTTTCTATACAATATGCCACGAGACTCTGAACCAGATTAATTTTTTAACACGTTAAATAATGTTTTTTATTTGGAATTAGATTAAAATATTAGCAATTATTATTTTATATACAATAAAAAGTTAAGAACAGTAAAATTGGTGAACTGTGAACTGGTTATTATATATATTTTTCTTTGATTTTTTAGGGTGAATAAACTGTGTAGCTGCAATTTAACACGATTGATTAAATATTAAAACGAGAAAAGACATATGGCCCGAGAAGAAAATCACTATAATTTTATAATAACGATAATGGAATAAGTGAAAATATTTGCTGTTAAACCGTTATAAAATGAAACTATAAACAATTATCAACTAACAGCTTTACGTGACATTCGTGTAGAAACTCGTGTCGTGTCATAAATGTGTAAAGCTAACTTGCAGCCGAGATATTATCGTGACGTAGGACAGATGTGTTAATCTATGCCAGTCAATAAATTTAAAACTATTTTCATTTTATTACACAGACGTGTTCTTAATGAAATTTAATACGACATTAATCAAATACTGAAAACTGGAGTTCGTATTTCCTAGAAGCTTTTAAGTAGCTTAGATATTTTAGACAGTTGCTCAACTGGGATGGAGGAAGATAATCATTAACGATTATTTCCGAATCGAATAGATATCGGTGGAGCGGGCTACTTCTTTGGTGGGAATGGAGGAGGAAAGAGGAGATTCTACTATACCATTGCCACATCAATCCCTGCGATATTTCTCTCTTAGAGACAGTGTGAAATATCCTTTTATATCTAGGCTAGATATCAGTTATTTCTGATCAGTCTAGAAGCAATAATTGTGTGTCCGTAGGGATGATAAACCAGCTTTAAAAAAGAGCCCAGACCCCAGAGTGGCCATTACGACACCATTCCATACAATATAGGCAGTTCTCCAAAGCCATAAACCGATCTTTTTTCCTTCTGTCTCCCTCTTCGTCACTCGGGAGTTCTGGTCGAGCGGAAAAGAGAAAAAATACTGTTTCACGTCGTTGACTACGATATAGACGTAGAAAATTTCAAGCTAGAAGCTTAGATAGTATAAAGTAATCTTACTGAAATAGTCAGTCTTAATACACAGACGTGGAATGCTGGAAAATTGGATGGCTTCTTACTGTTAAAACGCCATAGGTGAGTAAGTTCCTAGTCGTAGATGTAGGAACTCTCACTCCTGATCGAATTAAATAGTTTGCCAAGCAGATTGAGCAAGAAAACTTCTTGCAATAGCTTTACTCTTATAAAATTTGTTTACCGACTACGCTACAAATGGAAGCATATAGCAAATATGTGTGTCTGTTCGTCTGATTTATTATTTATCGCTTTGGCCTTTTAATGGGATTACTGCTTTTTTTTCCTTCCTAATTTTTCAAGATTTAAAAAATATTTTTTTTTATTTTGATTGGATAGAGTGTAGCTAAATCCTATTTTTTTAAAAATGNTAATTTTTTGAATTTATTTATTTAAGTTAATAATTAATGCCCGGAAAATAATGCAATGTTTAAGTTTGATGGGCGCATCCTTTCATTGATTTTGTTTTACCTTGAACAAAACAGGACAACCCCATTATTATGATTTATGTTCATATATTTTTCTCAAGATCAGTTTATGAAATATTAATGTGTATTGATATACTTGATAGATATTGATGTTAGTATTCATGTTGACACGCATTAGTGGATTAAGTAAAGCTGTCTTTTTGTTCATTTATTTTGAAGAGATTTATTTCAAATTGTTTTTGTTTCAACTCTAAAATTTTTAAGATTTTTATGAGTTGATAAAGTCTTAATAAGGATTTTCTTTAACTGACGACATTTTTATAATTATCTTTATCATATACCGGTATGTCTTCATATTAAAAATAATTTTTCTATGATACTGTACTCATTCAAATATACTTATTCTCTGATTTCAATTATGTTCTATTCGTTTCTCTACAATATATTAACATTACGAAACAGTTTTATCGTTTCCTTAAGTTAAAATTATAATAATAATATAATTTTTTAAATTAAAAATTACAAATTTTCTTAATATTTTTATATAAATTTTTAAATTTGCAAAAACATAATTTTTTCATATCAATTTGTGGGAAAAATTGATACAGTAATAAAAGCAAGAAAACGTGGCTAACTTGCCTATACAAACGTATTATTCTACAGTAAAAAGAAAATTTAATAGCGAATATGAATAGTTAAATTAATTGAATTTCATGAATTAATTACAAATAATAAAGATGAAAACGTCTAAAGTTTCAAATCAATATTTATACGACGAAATATTGAAAATTATAATTAAAAACAAAAAAAAAATAACTTAATTTTTCCTTTGAAATGATAAGATTAATNAGTATTAAAAAAAAAAAAAAAAAAAAAAAGGTTACTGCTACGGAATATTTATACAGGAAAGATGAGCCGAATTGAGACTACACTCACCTGGATAATAAGCGATTCTCTTTGTGCTGGTATAGGTGGACCCCTGAATTTCAAGTTGGCATTCAAAGACCGATCCTTCAGACTTTTGTAGTCCCAACGATGGTATCATCCGATGAAGTTGGATGTTATATACGCCGTGAGACTGTTTCTCCACCGTCTTCTTTGAATCTAACTGTTGCCTCATAGTCTCCCCCGACGACAATAGATAAAGTCGAAGATTGGGACGAGGATATAGACCTTGAGCTTCACACGTTAAGTTGAGATCCTTCCCGGTTTCGATATAATTAACGTCGAAGGTAGCGGCAGGAACTAAAAGAGAAAACGAAACGGTTTATTTTACGTATCATTAAGATAGCTAATTACATCGAGTGCAAAAGGCACGGCCGGTTACAAAGAGCTTTGGTAATTGGTATTCATTCGGACATTTTGCTTCCGGTGTGGTAAATCTGCGTGTGGGTAAGACACATCGATTGCTAAGATTGATGTCTTTCGATCTCCGACTTCTTTCTCTTTGGTAATTTGGACCGTTTTTCCCCCCTTCTTCTCTTCTTTGTGTCTTGGTAAATGGAAGATCAACGCAGTTTCTACTAGTTTAAAAACTTTTCCTTTTTACAAGAATATCTCTACAAATTTTAACTTTGATTAATATAAAAGGCTAAAGTTTAATCTCTAAAATGCTACTTTGGTCATTAAAATGGATAAATTTACATTAATTTGCACCTCTTAAATATACATATTATTGAAATTAATCCAAAAGTTAGTAAATTAATTAACTGCTTTGTTTGCTAATTATACCCGGTAAAATAATTAAAACTTTTACGATAACTTAATTATATATATATGTATACATATAAGAAATCTTATCATTTATTTAAAACTATTCAACTATACTTATTTATAAATATGCTGATCACTCTATTCAGCTTTATATATTCGTGTATTATAAATTAAGATTTTATTCTATAATATTTTACATGAAATTATTAAGAAAGAGAAATGAGTTATTGGAAAATATGCATAGATTAGAATAAAATAAATTATGTTATTCTTTTACTTAAGATTTAATAAAGATAAATATACTGTAAATGTAAATTTTAGAAAAGCATTTACGTGTTATATTATACAAAAATGAAAATATACAGAGACAAAAGTTCTATATATTATCTGTAAAATAACAGACACTCATGTAAAATTCATGATTTATATATAACTTTCTGGCATTTCTTTTAAATGCCATTTATGGTGATTCTATTCTGCATTACAACATATGAATAACTTACGAAAACTGCTTTTAAATTTACATTAAAATCTTACATTTGTTAACAACGTTATTTAAATTAATTGTAATATTTTATATAAGCTTACATAGATATGCATATTATTCATACGTAAATTTTAGAATTTTATTAAACAAAACGCCGAAAAAAGTTAGTTTTGAATTAATTAAAATCACTGTAATTAAAATTTAATAAAAAGATAATTATATAAGAAAAACAGGGTAATATTTTCATCAAAGAACAGAACATGGTTAAGATATTACACGCACATAGTTTGTATACAACAGACGTAGACTTTTTAACTAGTTGATATTAAATCTAGTATCGTAAACGAATTAAAAAAACTTCTAACTTGTCGACGGTTTCGATCACTTAAGCATTAAATTTGGACATAATCCTTCGACAGACGAAACTAATTTAAAAAGTTACAAACACATTACTTTCTTTAGTATCAAAAACGAAGGGAAACCATTAACCAATTTTCACTTTTTGTAAATCCGAATAAATAATAATAAAAAAAAAGGAAAATGGAAACAGTAGAAGCGTAAAAATCTTTGTCATCTCCAGCAAATTTACTAACTCATCTTAATCGAAATTTGGCCAGTCCGCGCCGATGGTAGCAGTAGTAGCTGCTGCAAATGAAAGATTGCAGATTGAATGAGTTATCAAGCGAGTGTTAAACAGCTTTAACAGTAGAAAGCACAACGGCGCCTAACCCAACCCGGTTATCGATCTCGTACAATGTACATTTGTATGTAAACGAGTAGCTTCCGATCTTCCATGTGAAAGCTGAAAGAACGATAATATCGCGTCATTCTATTTCCACTGCAATTACCTATCGACGACAAAGGATATAAAATTGTTCTGTTGACTCATGATAGAGTCTGTTCCATAAATAAATAAAACTCTTTTTAACTAGAAAACGTAACGAAATTATTACTTGGACAAAATTGCATTTCTTTCTTCCCCTTCCCCCATTTTCACTCTTAAATCAAAAATGTTACTTTAATGCTTTTTAATATTTAATATATATATATATATACATTTAGTGAACTAATAAAAGTATAAAAAATTGCCTTTTTTTAATCTTAAAAACACTAAATTCTATTTATTTTTGATTATATAAATATGTTAATATTAAGTACGCATCATTTCCGATAAGTGTTTTTCTTTTTCCAAATATCTCATTACGAACGAGAAAATATTTATGAAAAATAATATATAAATAAATAAATATATATATATTTAAAAATATATATAAACTGCCGGTATACTCAGTGTTTATGTATACTAGCGGTAGAAAGCGGGAAAGGGCCAAATTAATTTAATTTATAACGCGTAATCTCGCCGTAAAATAGCCGCTAGAAGTATTGTTTGGGGGTCAGAATTTGTGGAAATTCAACCTATCTCTCTCTCTATCTATCTATCTGTTCGATCGTTTGACCAATTTTAAAGAAAAATGCGAGAGAAAATCGTGTGTCGACCTACCTACCTTTTCATTTTATTTCTTCNTTCCGGAGATAAAGAGGTGCTTATATAAACTCTTTAAACTTTCAAAAATTTCTTTTTAGTTAACCAAACACGAATGAAATGTAATAAAAATCGGATTTTTAAATCTATCGATTGAAAATTATCAATAAAATTTCTGTCGAAAATTGAAATTTAATGAGAATTTTTCTTCGAAAATTTAATACACAAAGAAGGCATTTTAAAATTCGTAACACAAAGTTTATTTTTCTATAAGATGACAGTTCATAAGAGAAGTTGTTTAACAACCATTGAAAACTAAACTATTTTATAAACCATATACCTGTCATTGCAAAGACAGAAACTTATACTTTTTGCTGAAAAATCGGATAACAATAGCTTTCTTCTACGTTCTAATTTGGTCCAAAATATCTATCTTACTCGAGGTCAAAAATAAATAAAAAAAAAAAACTCTCCAATCAATAAATTCTGTCCTTTTGTATTGAAGTTTTTCTGGCGGTCAATCAGATGAAATTTTCCATTATTCTCCCATTTCATTTCTTGTATTTCCAGACTATTATACAAAATAAATAATAGAGTCCGCTTAATTCTGTATCTCTTTAAAAAATTCACTTTTCAAACTGGGTATTGATCGACTGTTTAAAAAAAATCCTCTGATTTTGATTTTCCATACATCTTCAGTGTTTGAATAATGTTTCGGATTAAACATTTATTTTTAAATAAATTTATTTTAAAATTTCTGAATATTTTTAGAAATTTGTCTCTCTTTCCAATACACAAATTTTGAAAATTCTCTTAAAATTTAACAGTTTTTTTATTAAGATTTCTTGAAAATTTAATGGTAATTTATCTTGTAAATAGATATGAATTTTAATTAAATAATTTACAAATTTTTTCTAAATAAAATTTCTTAAATCTTTTTAAAATTTGAAACTTTTCTGTTTATTGATCAATGATTCTAATTTCATTGTTATATATGGAAATATTTTTTTATGCAGTTTAATAATATAGAATCAAGAAGAAAAAAACGAATTTCATTTTAACAAGCTTATTTTCCAATATTATTTTATATATTTATTATTTCTTTGTTCTTATAGTTTGATGTTTTCAGTTCATTATTGAACGAAAGGAGCATATGAATCGAAATCGTTTTTAATATTCCTTAACCATGAATTAAAAATAAACGAGCAGTTATTTGTTGTGACATCATCACAATGCCTGGCTGAAATTTTTAATCATCTTTAAATTTAAAAAAAAAATCAAGTGACTTCCGGACAAGAACGGAAATTCGAATACATTTAATTGAGCCCTTAAACTTTCCGTATCTGGTCTGGATTTCAGTGGTATCTGGCATCCCCTGTACATTATACTTCTCCTGTTAAAAGTCGAGTCATGCCGGTCATTTAACTCCTTACTCGGTATATTTTTTTAATCGAAATCACGTGACTTCCGATATAAACCGGATGTTCTTATACAGTTAATCGGAACCTCCTCTTCCTAAAGTTTCCGTATATAAAATCTCGATTTTCATCTACTTAACTCCGTTCTCGAAATTGATGTAGGAAAGTCATACAAACGATAATGAAAATATATAGATAGGCAATTTGAAAACTGTACTCTAATGAATACACAAAAATAAAAACATCTTTTCTTTCCGAAACATATTATTGTAAATATGTGTATATTTTTACAGTTATCTACAGGAAAAAGAATACATTATCTGGTTACGCTACTGATTCAATTTATAACTTATGATTGAGGATGTCCTCGATTTTCATAAATATACTTTAAGTTATTTAACACCATACTCGAGATTAAGGAACGACAGACAACCAGACAGACGGACGACATTGGGAATTTATAGATCTATAATTTTTTTTCAAATTTCAGCCCAATTAAATTCTAGGTTCGGTTATTAATTAATCTTATATAAGGAAGAATATTGCTAATTTATATCTTATAAAAACTTTAATACGATAAAACGTATAAAATTTTATATGAATTATAGTTCAAAATAATGTTTTAACTGTAATTTCTCAAAAAAATCTATATTTTATAAATCTTTTTACATTCTATTATTAGGTTTAATAATAATATAAAAAAATGTATAATAAATTCTGGACAGAAATCTTACACTATCAGATTTTGCACTTTTCTTTCAAGTACTTTTTTTTTATTTCCAAAATCATCCATCTTACTGTATACACACTTCATTCAATTCAATAAGTGTGGATATCAAGTCTGAAATATCAAAGTTAACTTTTCCTTACAATTTATAAAAATTCTCAGTAACGTATCCTACATCTCAACTATGTAAGAGAAGAAAATTGGAGCAAATTCGTAAATTGGCTTCAAGAAAAAAAAAATTTATTATAATTGAAATTCAAAACTTATAGCGTTATAATATTAATGTTCTGTAAGAAAGAGGTCGGAAAATTAATTTATTTTACGAGCTAGAATTTTTACGTGAGTATTAAAAAAAAATATATTTAAAAAAAAATTGATTAAAGATGGTAGATAACCAACAGCGATTTGACTTAAAAG